GTTCTGATATCAACATGAGCTTCAGTCATGGTCTGCACTTTTTGATCATGGAATGCATTTTGTCCAGGGTAAGAGCCATGCCATGGAAGTAGTCAGACAGTTTTTACCATGAACATCTTCAGTGATTACCTTCAATTTTCTAAATGCAACTTTGTTATTCTGTAGCTCAGCAAAACTCACTTTAAACACATGGCCCTCGAGGCCATCAGATACAGTGTTGCTTCCTTGAGTTTTTGTGACTTCGGATTTTCCAATGTTTTTAATAATATAACTGGAGCCATATGCCAATCATGACAAGCTCCCATCATGCCGTTCTGTCTTAGAAAATGGATCAACCTCTTTCTTCTTGCCGCCTTCCATTAGGCATTTGTTCTTGCTGACTACCATGGTGCTCTCAGAAAACCAAAAGGACATCGGTACATTGTCCAGTTCTGTGTTGAGTCTCAATTTTTACTGTTTTTGCTCATTAAAAAGCCTTTTAAGTTGGGTGTATCATAATCCTATTACACTAAGGCAGAGGATGGCAAGTTCAACACCACCTCGGGCAGTCCTTCCTGCCTCAGTCTCTTCAGTGCTGAGATTATAGGCTTCTAGGTTCCAGGTTTCTTTAGTTTGTTTTTATTTGTTTCTGCTTAAAATAAATTAATAAAACAGTACCAGTAAAGAAATATAATATTTTGTTTCATAAACACAAATGTTATTGGGAGGAGGACGCAGAAAGATTGCCGTAAGTTCAAGGCTGGCCTGGACAGCTATGGAAAGTCTACAGCGCAGCATAAACTGCTAGCCTACCATATTCTACCACAGTCCAGGGCCACGTGTTCAAACCCCAGTCCTGCAAGAATACAAATGGCAACAACAGTAAACAGATACATGCAAATGCTAGTCTGTTCATAAACTATTTAACTGGATGGAAATGTTATTTTCAGAATTAAAATGTGTTTGATTTTGTTTTTTCTTTTTCCTGAGACAGAGTCTCACTATATAGCCCTGGCTGGAACTCTGTATGTAAACCAAGCTGGCCTTGAACTCACATAGATCTGCCTCCTCTGTCTCTGCTATGATGGAAGGGATGAACCATCATGTTGAGTCTTCTTTGTTTTGGGGACACTGTTACCTAGACTGGCTTTGAATTTGCAGTGATCCTCCTGCTGTGCCTTTCCAAGAACTGGAATAACAAGCTTTAGCCACCACTCCTGGCTTTAAATTTAACTTCAAAAACTGTTTCCATAGCCGGGTGGTGATGGCGCACACCTTTGATCCCAGCACTTGGGAGGCAAAAGCAGGTGGATTTCTGTGAGTTAAAGGCCAGCCTGGTCTACAGAGTGAGTTCCAGGAGAGCCAGGGCTATTACACAGAGAAACCCTGTCTTGAAACAAAACAAAACAATAACAAAACCCAAAAAATACACATAAAAAAATCAACCAAATAAAATTTAAAAACATTTTTTTTCAATGTTCCAGACACAGAAGAAAAAGTACCACTTCATCTCACTCCTGTAAATGTGTAAAAAGTTGAATTCATGGAAATGGAGAGAATAGCCATTACCAGGAATTGCGGGAGAGTAGGAGGGGGTGGGGTGGGAAGGGCTGACCCAATGACTATGCTGTAGACAAGAGCAAGAAGCCCTGCTGTGATGGTGTAAGATGGCAGACGGTAAGACTCAGTGGCTGAAAATGCCACATATCTTCGTCACAGTACATAAGGAAATTAAACTGAAACTGGGCAGGAAGCAGCCTCCTTGCTGGCCAGCCCTTCAAGTACTAGGAGTGCTTCGGAGGGCACTAGGGAGAATTGTCATCCACATGCTCACTCAGCGGAGACTCCTTCGTGCAACAATACTGACTGACCAGGCAAGATGAGCCCACTGCTGCAGCCGTGGTGATCCTGTTAGGAGAGTAACCAGCTCTCTGATTGGAACTTATACCTGCTCCACAGGAGGGAATTCGTGCCTGATACTGTAAACCTGGCCAAAAAGATATGGCTTGGGAGGTCATGGGCCCCACGGGGAAAGCTACTGTCTTGTTAAATAGACCTGATGTACCTGTCAAGTTGCCTTCTAAGTAACTGTTTATACCCGTAGTGTTGTCAACTTTGGTCAGAGAAGCTTCTCTCTGTAGTGGGCAGCAGTGACGGCAGAGACTCATAATGACTGGGAGTGCCAAGCCATAAACAGCCCATCTATATTACCCCCTCCAAAGCTCAGAGGATATCATGGAAGAATCTAAGAAAATGGGAAGGAGAAGGAGAGGATGGGACAGACTTCCAGGTATGGCGTGACCTGGCTCTTGGCACTCTTGAACTGCTCTGTCAACAGCCATGATTACCTCCCTGCAGGACACTGGGTCTGTAAATACCCTCTCATGGAGGTGGGGAGGGCTCATGTATCTCTCCTCTTCCAAGTTTATAGGCAGTTAATGATTGAAAGGAGAGGGAGAGGCATGTTTTCAGGGTCATAGCCACTGGGAAGGTGCCCATGTTCCTGTAAACAACCCCAATGTGTCTCAAAATTTTTTTTTAAAAAAAGGCAAGAAAGCAGAAGAGGTCCTAGTTGAAAAAAGGAAATCAGTGTAAAGGGGATTAAGAAAAGGAAATCAGTGTAAAGGGGATTAAGAAAAGGTAACCGAGGGTGAGTACAGTTGAAAAGTATTATGTACATGCCGGGCAATGGTGGCGCACGCCTTTAATCCCAGCACTCGGGAGGCAGAGGCAGGCAGATCTCTGTGAGTTCGAGATCAGCCTAGTCTACAGGGCTAGTTCCAGGACAGGCTCCAAAGCCACAGAGAAACCCTGTCTCGAAAAAAATAAAAAAAAAAAAGTATTATGTACATATTTGAAAATGTCAAAATGAGACCAACTGTTATGTACCACTAATAAGATAATAAGAATTCAAATAAAAATTATTCCCCAGAAGGAACCAAGAAAATAAAATGCTTCATCCGTGGTATGGTTTAGTAGTTGCCTAAATTGTTACCACTTAGAAGTCTTTTGATTATATTAAAATTCATTACTTTTAAAAAAACAACAACAAAACAAGACTCCACTATGTAACCTTAGCTGCCCTGAAGCTTGATATGTAGACCAGGCTGGCCTCAGATATACAACAGCCTATGCCTCCTAAGTGCTGGGGTCAAAGGAATATACCATCTTACATTTTTTAATCTATTTATCTATCATTTATTGGCTTTTCAAGACAGGGTTTCTCTGTGTTACAGCTCTGGCTGAACTGGAACTTAATTTGTGGACCAGCTGGCGTCAAACTCGCAGACATCTGCCTGCCTCTGCCTCCTGAGTGCTGGGATTACAGGTGTGTGCTAGCACCACCTGGCAAAACCTTCTATTTTTTAAAACTATGCTTTATTTGGTGTGTGTGTGTGTGTGTGTGTGTGTGTGCGCCACTGTGTGCTAGTGGAGTTCAGAGAACAACCTGTAGGAGTTAGGTCTCCTTCCACCATGTGGATCTCAAGGATTGAATTCAAGTCAGGGGTGGTGGCAAGCTTTAACCACGGAACCATCTCAGCCAGACTCCAAACTGACCTATTTTTAAAAAGTGGCATGGTATACAAAGTTTAAGATTCTGTCTCAGTGACTATGTTCTGGCTATTGTTAATGGTTTTGTATTATAATTATTCTTTAATATTTTATTATTGGGGCTGGGGAGATGGCTCAGTGGATAAAAAGCACTTCACCTGTAAGCGTTAAGTACCAGAGCTCGAATCTTCAGTCAGCACCCACGCGGAAAGCCTGGGTTCCATAAATTGGGTCACACTGGTAACCTTACCCTGTATCCTGGGAGGTGGAGGCTGGAGAATAATTTCAAGATCATCCTGAGCTACACAGTGAATGAGGGCCGGCCTGGGAATCCAGCCTGAAATAAACATTGGATGTATTACTTGTCAACCAGGCTTAGGCCTAGGCGGACCTAGAATTTGTGGCAACTTTTTGGCCTCCTCACCGTCATCAGTTCTGGGATAGATGTGAGCCACCATGACTCGCCAGTGGCTTCCAATTTTTTTTTTAACTTATAAAATAGAAGCAGTACATTATCATCCGCTGTTGTAACAACTTCTTTTAACTTCCCTGTTTTTCTCCCCTTGCGTTTATTTTTGCCCTTATTTGATATTTAAAGTTTCACCCTATTCTAACCTTAACACTATCCATTTAATACAAAAAGGTTTCCAGGACTAGCAAGATGGTGATGCTTGCTAATTTGAGTTTAATACCTAGGACCAGCATGGTGGAAGAGGATTGACCCTGTCAAGTTGTCCTCTGACCTCTTGCGCACACGCACACACTAAATGAAAGAGTTTTTAAAACCAAAACTCAACTAGATTTTCTTATTATCCGTGGAGTCCAGAGGGCAATTTAAGGGAGTTGTTTTTCTCTTTTAACCATAATGGTTCTGGGGATGGAGCGCGGGTCCTCACTCGCGGTGCCTGGCACCAGAGCCATCTCGTCGACCCTGATCCTCTTTTCCTAAGAAATGTGGGTGGTTCTGACGAGGTTTACAAAGAGAGCGAGTTTAAACGTTCAAAAACAGGGTCTAGGAGCAAACCCGAGACTAGAAAAAGTGCGCGCTACTTGGACTGACGGATTCTGTGCAACGCCGACATCCCACGTGTCTTCCAGAAAACTGGAGGAAGTCGGGAGGCGACGGGGTAAAAAGGAGACCCGGGCGCAGGAAGGCTTGGGGCGAGCGGAGGGACCTCGCACGGGGAGTCTGGGAACAAGCCTCGGCTGCGTGGGAGGGGGCGTCGGCCTCGAGGGACGATGAAGCCCACGCCCAAGTGGTTTTGCTCCCCGGTCTCCGGGTAGCGGAGGAGAAAAACCGGGGAGACGCTCAGAGAGCGACAGGTGGGCGCGCGGCCAGCCGCGCGCCGGCAGCTTCCGCCAGGCGCCTCCCCGAGCCCTGTGAGCCGCCGTAGCCCCGCCCCCCGGCGCGTGGCGCCCGTGACGTCAGGCGCGCGGGCCACTCTCCTTCCAGAGGTCGCGCTCTTCCGAACGGTCGGCCCGAGTCGCGCAGGCGCAGTCGGGAGGGGAAGTGAGGCGGTTTCCTCGGCGCCTTTTCCGGCAGCGGCGGCGGCGGCAGAGCTGGGAGGAGGAGGTGGAGGCCGGAGGGAAACCCGCGCTTGGGGCGGCGGCTGGAGGTAACCTCACGGGCCGATCCCCGGGAGGCGGGCCGCGTCGGCCTCCGCACCCACGGAGTCCCGGCAGTAACTCCCCTTCTCCCTCTCTGTGTCCCTGCAGGCGGCAGCGAGTTCCCGCGAGGATCCATGACCTGACGGGGCGCCGAGCCGCGCTCCTCGTCGGGTGACCCGGGTCGGGACCGAAGCCCGGTGCTCGCGGGCCGGCGGGAGGGTCGCGGTTGAGTCGGCCGCGTGTCGAGGCGGCAGCCGCGGCGGAGCAGGAGCTGTCGGCGGCGCTCGCGCGGCGCCCGCGGGGGGGAAGGGCAGTTCCGGGCCGGCCGCGCCTCGCCTCGCCTCGCCTCAGCAGGGCGTCGGCTCTCTCTCCCGGCGCAGACGCAGGGCCCCGGCGGCGGGCGATGCCCGAGTGAGCGCAGGCCGGGCCCCTGCCCCTAGCAGGCAGCTTCGAAGCAGGGCCGCTGGGCGTCCTCGCGGCGGGGCGGCTCCGTTTCGATCTCGCGGCGGCGGCGGTGGTGTAGGCAGAGGGGACCCGGGACACCTGAATGCCCCCGGCCCCGGCTCCTCCGACACGATGGGGAAGGTGCTATCCAAGATCTTCGGGAACAAGGAAATGCGGATCCTCATGCTGGGCCTGGACGCGGCCGGCAAGACCACGATCCTGTACAAGTTGAAGCTGGGCCAGTCGGTGACCACCATTCCCACGGTGGGCTTCAACGTGGAGACGGTGACTTACAAAAACGTCAAGTTCAACGTGTGGGACGTGGGCGGCCAGGACAAGATCCGGCCGCTCTGGCGGCATTACTACACCGGGACCCAGGGTCTGATCTTCGTGGTGGACTGCGCCGACCGCGACCGCATCGACGAGGCCCGCCAGGAGCTGCACCGCATTATCAATGACCGGGAGATGAGGGACGCCATAATCCTCATCTTCGCCAACAAGCAGGACCTGCCCGATGCCATGAAACCCCATGAGATCCAGGAGAAACTGGGCCTGACCCGGATTCGGGACAGGAACTGGTATGTGCAGCCCTCCTGTGCCACCACCGGGGACGGACTCTATGAGGGGCTCACATGGTTAACCTCTAACTACAAATCGTAATGAGCATCCTCCACCCATCCCCCGGAAAGAGAGAAATCAAAAACCCATTCATAGGATTATCGCCACCATCATCAACCTCTTTCAATTGCCACTTTCTTTTTTGAATCTGAACTCTGGAGTTACTGTTCTACGGTTTAGTGGGGTTGGGGTTTTCTTTGTTCCCTTTTCTTTTTCTTTTTTCTTTTTTTTTTTTTTGGCTTTGCGTTAGGGTGCGCTGATCTGATCTGATCTGATATTTGACACGAATACAGTGCTAGATGCTCTTGTGACTTCCAGCAAACCGGGTGGGGTAATAGCAGCTCTTGGTAAAGTCCTTTATAATAATGGTTTGATTTTTTTATTTCGAGAGGATCTTTTCCCCCCCCAATGTATGCTTTTTTCCTTTTTGCCCCGTTTCTTATCACTTGCTGTAGATGGCTTATTTTGCATTCATGCAGACTATGTTGCAAGTCTGTTTCATCTAGTAAACTGAAAATTATTGCTTAATCAAACTGCCGTTTGTCTTTTATATTTAAGGCCTTGTCCCCCTTCCTTGTTAGCGCTAACTTTAGCAATTTCAAATGTGACCTTTTCTATCCAAGACCAGTATGGTGAATTTAGCCCACAGTGGCAAGCTAATGAGTAATACCAGTGTAATGTTCCAGTTGCACACGAGTGTGTTAAACAGGCAATGGGAGAAGTCCCTTGAAGTGTCAGCTCTTAGCGTGCATGAGTAGGGTAAACTCAAGCTCCCCTACCGTAGCTAACTTTCGCTGCCTGAAACAGCTCCCCTGTAAGAGGGTGCAGATCTTTTTCACGGCAAAGTTGTTAACTTTGTTGGTTCCCTCTCCTTACCTTTAAAAATAGACTCTTTCCAGAAAATGGAGCAATAATGGTGTACGCCACACACAGATGAAATATTTGTAGATATTTTAAGTGACTTTCGGGCAAAATCAGAGTATGTTACCTTGTTTCAAATGTTTTAAGACCAGTAGCTTTAAAATTACTAAACATTTGCTTTGTTCACTAATAAAACGTTGAAAAAGTCAAATTACATGCACCTTTTACCTAGCTGGGAAAAGACACATTCCTGTTGTCACATTACAGCAACTGTTTAAACTGAAGATATATGACTTTCTTTATAAATGAGTGATCTACATCTCCATTAATTAAAACACTGGAAAAGATGTTTTATTTAAAAAAAAGAGGTGTTTAGTTTTGCTTGATTGTAGGATTAACTCATGCAAATAGATATCCTGTTGGTTCAGTCATACAGTTTCTCCTTAAGGAAATGTGCTGAGTGAGTGGTGTAGACTGGAGGGGTGACAAAGGAGAAGTAGGAAGGAGAGAAAGAACCTACAGATGACAATGAATGTAAACCTATTTTTCTTTAAGGGTAAGCATTGTGCTCACTGGTGATAACCCAGATCTTAACAAGATGAGCTGGTTAGGACCAGTTGCTAGATTGAGACCACTATGGTAATATTCTGAACCAAATGTTAGTGTTGATTCAAAATTGTGAAGCAGCATCTGGTTCTTATGTAGCCTTAAGGATTAATGTAGTGATCATCAAGGAGTTAAACTTAGGGAATTTCAGAAGTGTAGCCTGCAAGGGCAGTATACAGGAAAAGGTTGGAATGGTTTTGTTCATGAGGGTGTCTGAAAATTAAAATCAAGCCGGATATCATGGTATAGTTGCACAGTATTGGTCCTTCATGTTTTGGCCATATTGTATAATGGAGCTTTTACCAAAGATGTATGAGAAACAGAAGGCTATACAAAAACAAGCTGTAAGAAAAACTAACTTAAAGCAGATGAGAAAAGGTGCTATGTTGTAGGCTCCTATTGGTGCAGAGGGATTTTTGAATTCAAGATGCAACTAAAGCCTAAAGTTATCAGTTTCACATTAATAAAAATATCTCTAGAAATGAGGCTGATTCACATATTTAAGAACATATAGTTGCTTTTTAAAATTCCCAAAGCTCCACCGTAAATGTAATTCTTAGTGTTTTAAATGATTACATTTTAAGGTACATAAATACGGTTATACAAATATCAATGCTATAGTAACATCCTGAAACAAAATAAGCACAAAGGTATAAATGCCTAAACTGGAGGAAACTTGAAACCCTCATGTTGATTCTTCAATGTAGTATTCTAACTTGTGACAGACAGATTGGTAGACAGCCATTTTTTTGTGTGTCTTAAAATAACTGGGGGCATAGTTAAAATTTTATACAAGTGATTGCTATTACTGAATGTTGCAGGTGAGATGGGTTGTTTTTAGTTTATTTGACATGTCTGAAAAGGTGGGAGGGGGGAAACATTTGAAATTTGAAAACCTTAAACCTTTTGGAAAGAAACTGTAATTTTCACTTACATTTCTTTAAGAGTATCTATAAAAGGTTTATAATTGATGTAGTTAAATTGAACCATAACCATTGGTGATTAAGAAGCAGGAAATTGAGCCTGCAGAAAAAGTTATAATGGAAGAATTAAAACAATAAGGTCCTAAAGATTTTGTTTAATTGCATCAATTTTTGTATTTGTGTGAATTTATAAACTTGCAGTAAGTTCTGAATGAGGTTAATCTTGTCTGATATAAGTAAATGAGTCTGTAGACTGTGATCCCCCTCCCCCAGCTAAAAAGTGCAGTACTTGGAATTGTTCTTTATGGTTGTAGTGTTGCTGAAGCACTAACATGCAGAAAATAAAGGAATTACACAGTGCAGTTTCTCACGTTATGTTACTTGGAATAGATAAGTGGGATGTACTGGTATATTGGGCCATGTTACTCTCCAAGGATATATGGTAAAATGTGAATTTGAGACTCACCTGACTTTATAAATGATAAAGATTCCCCTCCCCAATAGTGGCTGTTTATGGTATTTCCTGTTTTAATTTCACCAGTGTTTTGTGACAACTTCGGGGAGTAACAGTTGAAGATCTGAGGTTTCTCCTCTGCCTTGTAGAGACTAGGCAAGTGCTCCATCACATGCTGGCGCATCCTTGACCCTTTTTGCCTTAGTTTTTATTTTGAGATAGGGACTTGCTTAGTTGCTTAGGTGGACTTTGAACTTGTGATCCTTGCTTCATCCTCCTAAATAGTTGGGTTACAAGCCTGTGCTACCATCTCTACCTCAGGAATCTATTCTTCGTTTTTCAAATTACAGTCTTAGCATTTTGAAAGTACAAAATTGTGTTGGTAAGGAATTGGCTTCCTTTTTTTAGTTGTCTTAATCTTTAATAGTTGGATTTAAAAATTCTTTTTAGAGTTCAAAGTTGCTTGTTTGATAATAAGGGCAGAATTATAGCCATGTGAAAGGTAAAATTGTGTATGGATAGCTTGGAATCATTTAAATATTCTTGTAAGCATTCCCTATACTATGTCAATTTTTTTTGTAGGTTTGATTCTATAATGTCTGGATGAGACATAGTATAATTTAGATTATACATTAAGGCTAGGTTAGCCTGCCTTTAATCCCAGCACTTGAGAGATGGAGGCAGGAGGACCAGTTTGAGGTCAGCCTGGTCTATATAAGACCCTGTTGTAACTAACTAGCCAATAAGGCTCATAATGATACTTCTAGTATATCTACTACTGTGGCTTACTGAGATGTCCAAGGTCAGTTTTTCAGTGGTAACAGTAGAAAATATTTTCCAATGGTTTATAATGTTTTAGACAGAAATTGAGACATTATAGTCTGAATAGAGATACTTTATCACATTCTGGTTACTCATTCTCTCTCTCTCTCTCTCTCTCTCTCTCTCTCTCTCTCTCTGTGTGTGTGTGTGTGTGTGTGTGTGTACAGCTTGTAGTCAGATAAGTCTTGTCTCTTAGATGTGATAATTATATTTGCAAGACAGCATGTAGCAATTTTAAATATTTTTCATATCAGACTAATCACTGAGCATAACATAGTTGCAGCCTACCTGTCAGTGGAGTCTAGTATTTTGCTTGTTTAATCAAATGGTGGATGGTAGAAGTGATAGTATTCAGAAGTTTATATTGAAATAATGTGAGAAGGAGCTGGTTTAAGAAAAAAAAGTAACATCTTGCTTTGCCAAACTTTAAAGCTGCCAAACTAGTTGAACTGGCAGGGAACATTTGCGGATAAGATCAAAGAAAGTAGATCTGTAGAGGCACTTAGGAATTATAATTGAAATTTGTTTATTATACTAGCTAAAGTAATAGTATGCTTCAAGAAAATTAGACTAGGAACCAAACTTATTTCGTGGGATGGTAAAAAGAACTTAAATTTTTTATTTTGATAGAGTTTTACTATATAGTCTAGATTAGTTTTGATTTTGTAGTCCTGTTTCAGACATATCTAGCAAAAATGCTTTAGCTTTTAACACCCTTTATTTAAACTTTCTTATGACTACTTGAACAGCTTTAAATTACTTGTCAGTTTTGTCTTTGAGCATTTTTTTTAACCTGTTGGATTACATGAAGTACACACTTCGGTATCTGTTGTATGAGTTTGAGGGTAGATTGATGTATTTAGAGTCTAATGTTCCTGGAACTGTTGCCGTGCAGTGCAAAGCAACCAATGTCTGCCTTCATGGACATGCATGGGTGGATGGGGAGAGAACAGAGATTGGACGGTTAAGTATGAGTATTGGTGATACACTAGCACAGTATGTTACATAGAGGGGACAGGTAAGGACATGTTGAGAAGTCTTCACCAAGGTTATGTTGAACTAACGTTTGAGGGAAGAAAGTAGTGTAGTTGGTACTGGAACAAAAAGATACAATGTAGAAGCAGAACTGGGAAACGGGATCAAGGGCAAGTCTAGTTGTAGCCTGTTTTTACAGAGATTATGCTAAGAATAGTTTTTATATTTTCAAAGGAGTTTTAAAGATTATAAGAAAAGTAGGGTTGGGAAGTGTGTAGCTCAGTGGTAGAGCACTTGCCTAGCATATGCGAAGCTCTGGGTTTGATCCACGTCACTTGGAGGAAAATGTAAGAAACTGACACGGACAGGGTATGGCCTGAAAACTCATGGTACTGCCGTCTGGCCCTTTATGGGAAATGCTGAGTCCACATCTAAAGCCAACGTTTTCAAATACTGTAAGCACATAGGAAGTCTTCAGAGAAGACTATTGTTAAGACTAGTTGAATCAAAAGTTTGAGAAACAATGGCTTTTATATAATTTTCCACATTTATATTTTTAATGAGCCCTAGAGGCTTTTTGTGACTTCTGGGATAACAGGCTAACATAGAATTTCTGTGGTTCGGTTGGTTGGTTGGTTGATTTTTTTGATGTAGGCTCTTACTGTATACCCCAGATAGACCTCAGGTTTGTAGTGGTCCTCTCAGCCTCCCAAGTGCTGAGATTACAAGTGTACACCAACACGACTTGCTTTATTGACTTTTTGTTTCTGCGTGTAAATATGTGAAACCAGAGGTTTTCAGTTTCATTTCTTGAAAAATTTGTGAATTATTTAAGATGTTTACTTTCATGGTGGCTTAATATTTGAATTTAAAAGTGTTTCTCTATTAAAAGTGCATTTCCCTTTTGATAACCTAGATTAATTTGGAATAGGTTCAGATAACATTCAATTGTGGCCTTTATTTTGTGATATTACTGTAATCAGTTCTGAATCCAATTTTTTATATTATGAAACTTTGCAAGAGGAAAAATTTTATTGACATGGCAACTGATACATTTTGTTTCCTCCAGTATTACCCTGTTCCGTATAAACCAGGGAAAATAATTGATTCCACATGTGGCTTTCTCTTGCCTGGAAAGTTGTTCTATATAACAGGATGTGGGAACTGAATCATATAGTTAAGAGGAATTATGGAAGTAAGGTGGTTTTAGTTTTGTTTTTCAAAGAGGGTCTGACCTTGACCACAGTAATCCTGCTTCAGCCATCCGAGGGCAGGGTTATAGGTATATACTGCCACACCCAGCTAGAAGTTCCAAGAAGGACATTTACAAACGAGCATTTAGCATTCTAAATCACATTTATTATCTGTACGTGTGTGGTGCATGAGTGCCCAGGACTACGTCGGGAAAGCTTGTACGAATTAGTTCTCTCCTACCGTGTGGGACCCAAGGATAAGACTCAGGTCCTCAGCATCAGTGGTAATGACCTTTTCTAGATGAATATTTTGCTGGTCCCACAAGTGAACTTTTAAAAAGGGAAAAACTTGTAGTTTATAGGCTATGTGAAACTCATTGATGAGCAAAAAGTTTTCTATTAGAGCTAAATAGACTAAGGAAGAAGATGACATATTTTGGTTATAGAAGTGGGCATTTGGATCTTTGAAGCTCATTAGAATGTGGTAAGCCAACCGGGGCTGCAGCACCCTAGTGGAGTACTTGCCTAGCATGGGCAAGGCCCTGAGTTTGATCCCCACCATTAAGAAAAAGTTTTATGAATAATTCTAGGTTGCAGTTGGACTTAAAGGGATCGAAATTAGTAAGCATTCTAATAATCAGCATTTGCTGAATGTCTGGCACATGTTGGGCATTGTTCTGAGCATGTAATATGTATAGATTCTGAATAGCCTCCCAATAGCCTTGGGCACAAAGCTCCAATTTTATAGTTGAAGAAACTGGGGCACAGAGAGGGTCATGTTAATATCAGGGCTGAGATTTAGATTCAGGTAGCCTGTCCCTTACTATGAATGTGGCTAGATGACAGTGATTATTAATTTTACTATTTTTAGTATTTTGTTTAAAAATGCTTTCAATAATTTCCCATAATTTTCTAATTGGTCGAGACTTCTGTAAAAATCAAATGCTGAGGCCCATGTAGTGGCTTATATATTGCAATCCTAAAATTTTAGAGTCTAAGCCAGGGTTGCTGCAAATTCCAATCCAACCTAGGCTAAAGACTCTGTGTAGTGGCATTTCCATTGTGTTTTAATAAATAAAATTTGCCTGAGGATCAGAAAAGCCACACTGGCCAGCCTTATAGACCAGGTAACAATAAAACACACCTTTAATCCCAGTAGACACATTGGTTTGCCATAGAAACCAGACGGTAGTGGTACACGCCTTTAATCCCAGCCCTAGAGAGGATTATAAAATGGGAAGGAGACAGCTTTCAGACACAGTATCATTCTGAGATTCCTGCAGGCAGGATCTCCACTTTTGACTAAGTTGAGGTAGAAGCTAGTGGCTGGCTGCTTTGCTTTTCAGATCTTGAGGTTAAACCCCAATTTCTATCCCTGAGTTTTTACTAATCGTGTTTCAACTCTGTTTCATGAAATAAATAAAAGTGCTGGTAAGCCTTTGTCATGACTCAGACCTTTAATCCCAGTGCTCAGGAGGCAGAGATAGGCAGATCTCTGGGTTAAAGGCTAGCCTGGTCTACAGAGCTAGTTCTAGGACAGTTAGGGCTACACAGAGTCTGCTGGAAAAAACAGCAAAATTTAAAAGTGCTGGTGGATAGCTCAGTGGGGAAAAGTGCTTGCTACCAAGCCATGTGGTTAGGGAAGGGAGTCTCATCTGGGTCCTGAAAATTTTGTGTAAAGGAAAAAATGGATCAAGACAGCTCAGAGGAAGAATTCTTAACCTAGCATTCATAAGGCCCTGGGTTCCATTCCTGGCACCATGAAATAAATGAATAAATAACAAAGAAAAAAATATTAACAGTATTTCATACAAAATCTTCATGATTTAGATGTAGTATTTTGCATTTAAAGCATGTCTCAATATGAACTAGCCACATTCCCCTGGCACAGAAGTTTCAGGTAGCTAGTGGCTGACAT